CTGCCCATTTCTTCACTGGATTATTTGTTTTTCAGGTGTGGAGTGTGGTGAGTTCCTTATAGATTTTGGATACTAGACCTTTGCTTGCTATGTCATTTGCAAATATCTTTTCCCATTCTGTTGGTTGCCTTTTAGTTTTGTTGATTGTTTCCTTTGCAGTGCAGAAGGTTTTTATCTTCATGAGGTCCCAATAACAAAGTCCTTTCTAAAAATTAAATCTCCTTTTAAGCGATTTTAATTTGCAACCGATAGCATCATTTAAAAGTAGGAGGTACAGAAGTCTAGGTGGCTCAGTCCCTTGAGCTTCTGACTCTTGATTTTAGCTTGAGTCATGATCCCAGGATAATAGGATCGAGCCCTACATCAGACTCCACATTCAACATGGAGCCTGCTTAAGATTCTCTCTCTCTCCCTCTGCCCCTTCTCCCCTGCCCATGCACACAATCTCTCTATATATAATAAAATAAGAAACTTAAAAGCCAGAGGCACAGATCCTTTCAAAAACTGGTGCTTTATAGTCACACTACCTTTGTCTTCCTGTGTGTGCACATGTGTATTATATGTATGTGCATAATGTATACATTTAGTGTAGGCTGTGGCTGATGTGGATTTTATTCTTGTTTTTAATTTTTAATTTAAATTTAAAGTTCATAATGCAATGACATGTTGCAAATTCAAATGGTATAAGGAGGGGAAGATTTTCCTCCTTTCTCTCTCTTTGAGCCCTTCATTTCCCCTCCTGGAGGCAGGCAGTGTAATCAGTTTCAGGTGTATCCTTCCAGATCTGTTCTACATATATACATGCACGTATTTTTTTCTCATGTATTTACAGAAAGCAAAGCATACTATGCGCCCTGTTTTGTACCAGCTTTTCTTTTGACAGTGCATCTTTTTGGTTGGTCCAAGATCAAATGAAGAGCTTCCTGGTTTTTGTATAGTATTCGTTATGTGGATGTACCACAATTCTTTAAAGCAACATCTTTCTTAGTACTTGAGTTATTTCTAATCTTTTGCTATTAAAAAAATGTGCTGCGAAGAATGAATTTGTACGTACATTTTGCACTAGGTAGATAGCTAGTGTAAATTCCTAGAACTGAAATTACTGGATCAAAGGATACATGCATTTTAATTTTGGTAGAAATTACCCAATTGTCCTTTTGAGAAGTTATGTCAATTTTCATTCTCACCAATGGTATGATTTATCTTTTTCCATAATCACAACAGCACAGAATTGTCAAACTTTATTTCTGCCAAATTGATAAATTTAAATTTCATTTCTCTTATTTTCAGGTAAACCGGAGCTTGTTTTTAAAGCGCTCGTATTTCCTCATCTGCTCATTGTTCTGCCATATTGTTGATCTCTGTCATATTGGTTTCTGGGAGTTCTTTCTATTTTACAGAAACTGACCTTCATTATATGAGTTGGAAACAGTTTTTCACTTGGCTTTTGATTTTTGCTTGCAGTAGTTTTTGCTATGCAGAAACATTCAATTTTATGCAGTCAGATTTATCTACTTGTTTTGTGAAGTACGCATGTGATACGTAGGCATTTCCCACTCCTAAGTTATTTTAAAAATTTTCCCCTATCTTTAGTATCTTTATTAAATTGTTCATCCATCTGGGGTTTATTTGGTTTAAGGTGAAAAGTATGGCTCCACCTGTGTTTTTCCTTTATTTCTAATGACCTTAGAAAACATTGTAATGAGTGTTGAATTTTAAAAAAATGTCATAGTCCATAATGTCATATATGAAAATAAGTAGTACTGACTGAAGCCATATACATTCTAAATTTTCTGTTAATTTTTATTGCTCTGGGGGATCTTCATTTTTGTATACTCAGGGAATAGTTATTTACAATGTATCCTAGTTTTTAAAGAAGCCTTCAGGAAGCTACCATTTATGTGGCATTGTGGGCCACCTGCTTCTTATTCTCCTTACCTTAATGTTACACTCCCTATCTTATTCCTTCCTGCAAAACACCATAATTTGTCTCCTTGTATGCCTCATGCCACTTGAAAATTTCTGTGGAAAAATCTAACAAAATGTTGACTTGACATTTGTATTTGTGAGCGGTTTGCTGATTCATACAATTTTGTCAACTGAGTTTAAATTCTCACTTTTACTTTTGAGGCAGTTGGTTCTTATTTTGAAATGACATGAGCCTTCTAATTTTATGTTTATTTTACTAAAAGTGAATGTTTTGTAAGATTTCAGAGAGGAGTAGTGAGAGCTCCATGCCTGAGTTATCCAACCCAGGCTATGTGGATTAGCAGATGATTTATTTGTAGTTTTTATGATCTTAGAAAAGAAGCCACTTCCTGGTTGAAGAGTTCTTATTTAGCATTATTCATGGTAGAAGAAGCTACATTGGTAAATGGAGGGTAGGATGTGTGCGTGTAAAGATTTCAATTGCACATCTAGAGTTATTTGTTATAAATACATTGAAAGTTGTATCAATTATGGTAACTGTGATTTATGAGATTAAAGGGTTTCTGTTGAGATTAACAAGACATATCTTCAGATTTGTGAAAGCTTTTAGTCTGGAATCCTTTGGAAAGAAGATAGGCCTCCACATGCAAGATGTTACTATGATTATTCCTTGACATTTCAATTTATCTAACAAATAAGTAGGAATGTATAACTAACAACCATTAATGAATACATTTTAATAATAGGGAGACTTTATGGAGCCTCAGAAATAAACTCTTTTTAAGAAATGGTAGTATTTGGAGGAAAACTTATGTCAATTTTTTATGTTCCCGTTGATAAATCATTTAAAAGTTACTGGATTTTTCCCTCTATCTTTAAAACTAGAGGAAAAGTAGTAATGTGTTTATTCTGTCTCCTAGGGATGTTTTGAGAATTCTAAACTACTACATGCTAATGAAGATGTACTGTATTATAATTTTCATAATTAATAGATCAAACTACTACATGTAAATGGAGCTGTATTTTATTATAAACGTTCTAACTTCCTCCTTTGGTTTATGGGAAAAATATATTTCATTGATACTGTGTATGTTTCATTATTTCAAATTATTTTTTTCTTCAATGTCTCCTTCCTTTCAAACTGCTGGATTTAAAATATGAAACTCTTGCTATTTGGCATATTGGCATTGATAATATTCTGTAACCTGTAAAAATTGTGATTAAGAGCTTTCTGGGTTATAGCTATTTATTACTGGATACATATTTTTCCTTGGTGAATTCCAGAATTTTTTTTTATGCACAAAAGGTTAGATGTATATATTTTCACTGAACCATTGCAAAATACACCCTTTAGGTTTGACATTCCCACTTAAATGCTGCTTGTTCTTTTAATCTCAACATCTTGATATTAAACCACATGGCCATGAGATTAATAATAGCTAGATTACAGATGCAATTTTGATTCCATTTATTTCATATGTAGTACATAAGTGTTTGCTCATCCAAAGATAGCCACACCGCAAAAAATTCCATATATTTTTATGATTTGTTCTTCTTATATAGACACAGAACAAGTGATATATACATAAATATACCAGATATCTGTTAGTGACAGATGTTGATAAGATACATAAAAAGCTTATTGCTTATATTTTTATATTTCATATGATAATTCTATAATGTTAGCCACTACAAATAAAGATTTCTCATTGGCTAAAGTAAAGGAATCAATATTGTTTTTTATAAGAACTTGATTCTCAAACTCTAAAACCTGGAAAAAATTAACAGGAGTAGAAGAAATTAAATTCCAGGTATTTTAAAAGTTTTATTACTTTTTAAAAAAGTTTTTAAACTTCATGTGGCCACAGTATAATTTCACTCCAGAAAAATGAACTATAAAATACTATTTTTATTATACTGCAAAAGTCCATTACATTTTAGAATAATTGAAAATATTGTATGAATCAATTATGAAATCTTTGATATCTGGAAATGCAGACTATATTGAATCTATTAAGGGTTTGCATAATGATTTATTTAAAAAGTTAGTCACAAATAGAACAATGACTTGTATCAATGAACCAGTTTTGCTCCATTTATTTTCCCCTTCAGGCAGAGCTCACAGTTTGGAGACGAAAAAACATTTAGTGATTCATCATTGTTGGAAAACCTCCAAAATAATCATGTAAGCAACATAAAACCATTATCTTTTTGTTAATGAGTGAAAGCTAATGAGTATTTCTCTGGATTATCGTCTCTCTTTATATATTCTTTTTTTTCAGGATCATTTTTAATACTTACCAAAATCTATTGTTATTAAATCCTTTTACCTGGTCAACAGAAATTCATGGTTATTAGAAATTCAGTTTTAATAGTATTGTTGATCAATATTCTGTCTTTTCAAAATGTCTTATATTAAATAATTATAGAACTCTGTATGAAACAACTCACTCTTCACCATTTCAGAATATCTGTAGAAATGCTAGAAATGAATTACCTGCTCAAAACAATAGGCCAGTGCCAACTCTGTACAGTAAGAGTACAGAGTAAGAGTACAGAGCTCTGTACAGTGCCAACTCTGTACCTGCTGCTCAGAGTGACTGCTCGACTTATGAAGTTATTGTCACTTATAAAAATTCTGTCAGATTAAATGATACGGCTTCCTGAAGTTGACACCCCAGAACTTCATCACCCCAGCCCTCATCAGTACTGACTTCTAGAATATATCCTGTTTTCTTTCCTTCCTTCTCACTTTCATGACCCTCGTCCAGACTCCCAGCATTCCGCAGCCAGTCTCCTTGCTTCCATTTTTTTCCCCTCCAGTTCTTGCTGTGCATGGCAACTGGAATCATGGAACTGGAAGTCACTTCCGTCACTTCTCTGTTCAAAACCGTTCTCTGGCTTCTTAACTCACAGCCATACACGGTCCGGCCCCTACCTAAATCACCAACCTTGCTTGAGCTGCTTTCTTTCCCCCAGCCCATACTGGCTTCTATTTTTTCAAACACACTTCATTCTTTCCTTCTTTAGGACCTTTTCAGTCATGTCTGATTCCTGCTTGATGCAAAACTCTTTGCTCAGTTCTTCATGAGGCCAAACGTCATCAGACTGGCCCAAATCACATTACATGATATTTGCACATTCTCTCCTTTATGGTCCTTTCACACTATAAATAAATATTTGTGTATTTATCTGTGTTCTTTCTTTCCCACAAGTTAAGCTTCATGCAGCAGGGACCATGTCTGTTTTGTCTACTGTACTAGCCTGAGAACAGATTTTTCAAATAATGTTATGATTTACCCTTCCAATCACTTCAGTTGTGCTTTCGTTTAGTTTGTTGTTTTTTGTTTTGTTTTGTTTTGTTTTTTGACCAAGACCATAGGAGAATATTTTTTATTTGATATTTCTTTTCATCGGGGGCCAAACAGGAAGATGTTTAATTTAAAAGATCTGACTTCTTGGGGCACCTGGGTGGCTCAGTCAGTTAAGCGTCTGACTTCGGTTCAGGTCATGATCTCACAGTCCATGAGTTCGAGCCCCACATCAGGCTCTGTGCTGACAGCTCAGAGCCTGGAGCCTTCTTCTGTATCTCCCTTTCTCTCTGCCTCTCCCCTGCTCATGATCTGTCTCTCTCTGTCTCAAAAATAAATAAAAACATTAAAAAATTTTTTTTAATTAAAAAAAATAAAAGATCTGACTTCTTTTTTCCTATATGCTCTAAGTTCCTTGCAGAAAGGATCCGCTTTTATGTCTTCCTCAGGCTGTAAGAATCCATTGTACATAGTAATTGCTCAACCAAATCTTTGTATTTAGTAAAACATGTTTCAGATTAGGGTTGTAATTTGTAGAGAGAGGGAGGGCAAAGCTTTACAGAGAGGTATCCTGCCATCATCACTGCAACAAAGTGGTGGAACCCTAGTAAGATCAAATGCCAAAAGCTTAATCTAATCAAGATTTAGAACCAGGTAAATGAGCATTTTAGAATTTCTCTCATGTCTTCTAAGGGCAGGATTTGACTATATCTACCTTTTTCACTGTGCTGTTTTTATTTGGTACCACCAAGTTGTCTTATATAATTGTTTGAAAAATTAATGAAAGCATGTAGGAAGGAATGATTTTAAAAATACATTCATAGTAACTGTTGGCTTCTTAGTTGTCTGTGCCCTCACACCTTCAATGCTTTACAGCTACAGTCTTAATAGGCATGAAGTAATATTGCTATCGTTAGTGTCAAAATGTTTAGGTGAAAAAGGCTGAATTATGTGTTTATTTCTTACAGCCAACTGCACCTATAATATGTGAATTTCTTACAATGATGGCTGTTTGTCACACAGCAGTGCCAGAGCGAGAAGGCGATAAGATTATTTATCAAGCAGCATCTCCAGGTACAAAAGAAGGAATTATAATATATTTTTTCAGTGGAAAATTGTTCTGAAATTTCAGGTTGTCTAGAAAAAAAATCAGTTTAATTTGAAAATGAAATAACCAAGTTATGGGGTTTTTTTTATTAAAAAATGTGTTTACTAATTAGAAAAACTTGGCTTTGAGAATTAAATATATAGGTTAAAATATGTAACTTCATATATGTAACTTTTGGTATATGACATAAATTGTATGGAAATTTGAATAACAAAATTCACACAAGTAAAAAGTACTAAAAAGTACTCACATATAGTAAGTTCTCCCTTCTTTGAAATGACAAATTTGCTTTCCTCTTTTGGAAATGATAATCAAGGAGCTTGAGTATTTCTTTGGATGAAGAAAATTCACACATTTGAAAGGGATTCAATAAAATATGTATTAGCATGGTTATCAATATTTAATACTTCGGCTTAATTTTAAACCTGTTTTCAATGTAATTAGGCAGTCAGTTTGATGATTGCAAGACTTTAGGAAAGAAAGAATATATTTTAAAGAACTTCATTTTAAGTGTTTTAGCTGTATTCTAAGCCAGCACCCATGACCTTGTAGAATGTACCAAATTCCTAAAAGGCATAAAAAAATTACATCTCATTTTGATTTAGTATGGTGATGAAAGTAATACATGATAAAATAAAACATCAATTTATTTATATCCATTTCTTTTTTTCCTTTGTCCAAGTTTCTCTTTTTTTTAGAGTTGGCACACAATGTTATATTAGTTTGAGGTGTTGACAGTGCATTTATATCCATTTAAATTGAATCCTCAATTAGTATTTTTTTTTACATTCAGTGTTTTAGGAGAAAAGCACAAATGCAAGACAATTTTGTGCGTTTGTTTTGAGAAAGGTTTTCTAGAGAATATGTGTAACCAAAGGTACATTTAAATTTTCCTTCTTAGCTGTGTATGACTAACAGTAAAATATGTCTCCTGGTTCTATACATGTCTCAGATCCTTAAGATGATTCTAGTCATTCCTTTGGCATTGTCATATAATTTTAAAAGAAATGGACTTCAATAACAGGGACCAGAATAAACAGAATTTTAATTCTTTTAAAATTAAACAGAAAATATATTACAATAATGTATTTCTGTTGTACTGGGGATAATTTTTCATCTCACCATGTATTTGCTTTCATTTGTTTTCCTAAAACAGATGAGGGAGCACTGGTCAGAGCAGCGAAACAACTGAATTTTGTTTTCACTGGAAGAACACCTGACTCAGTGATTATAGATTCCGTAAGTTATTTATTTTTAAGTCTCTTTTTCATCAAAGGAGTGACATATGCATAACTTCAAAGATCAAATCATAGCAAAGGATCATAATAAAATAGATGTTCCTTACTCTAATCCCCTTCTTCAGAAGCAGCCATATCTCTTTCTTCAGGCATGTAAAAATCTCATATTTTCAAAAGCATATGGGATTAATGATATAGGTCTTGATTCTTCATTTTTAAACCTATCTACTGACTTTGTCTTCTGTTAGGTTAAATGAGGATTTATCTCTCTTGATTCACTATCCCTTCCTGATATTACTGTAGTTACATGACAGTTTTTAGTTAAACAGGTATTCGGACCCAATTTTTAAAATAGGCAAAAGACTTGAACAAACATTTCACAAAAGAAGATATATGAATGGCCAGTGAGCACATTAAAAAAAAAAAAA